GTTGTTTCCCATACAAAATTGGAAAACGACGCCGCACAGTGGGTTGAACGGTATGCAAAGTGGCGATTAATTCAGGGAAGCCGTAATTTTAAAATATTATTATTTTTTATTGATGGTTATTCATAAATACATAAAAAAACATAATTTAAAAAAAAAAATAATAAAAAAATTTTTTTTTTTAATCTTTTATGGGCTTTTTTGTATTTTGGAAAAAAAGGTCTTATTTCACAATTTTCGCTATAAGTTTGGAAAGAAAAACGATAAATTAGTAAATGCAATTGAAAATTAGAGCTTACTTAACGTGCTTTTAGAAAAAAATTGTGTTTTTGAAAAATATAAATTAATAAATATTTAATATGTATTTAAATTAGCGCGCCGTCTACATTTTGTCAAACTCAAAGGTATGTTTTTTACGCGTCTACATTTTGCAACCTCGCAGCAGGGTTGCATTATGGCAATACTAATCACATTTTTTTTATTTATTGGGCACGTTTTTTGTATTTGCATTTAATTTGAGCGCAATTTCTGATGAAAAGAAACAAATCAAGGGAAAGAAATAACAAATATTAGGAATTGGTAATTAAGTTAAATAATTACAATTTTTCAGAAACAAAATCGAAAGGCGATATATAAAAAATGCACGCAAAGAGGAAATGTCTGGCAACACCAGCAAAGTTTCGAGACGATTTTGCGACGACTGCTAGAAAGGGGTGCTCACAGTTTGATGCTAAAGGTGTCTCAAAATGTAGACGTCTACATTTTCAGACACAATTTGGAACGAACTGTGAACACCCCAAATGTTGTCTGGTGGCGTCCTGCGGCAAATGCTTATTTCAAGACATCAAAGTGCCCACACACAAAAACTTGCAATTACATTGCTCGTCAAAATGACAGTTGGTAGGCCATCGGTGTTTGCCTGTGGAGCTCTACGGTTATGAAACTGTACGATAATAAAAACATTACAAGGTAAATTCATTCTCTCAATTCGTCGGCCATGATTTTGTCTGACGTTTGTAAGCATTTTAAAATCATATAAAATTATAAATAAAAAAATGAAATTGTACTAATTGTTGTTGTTTCAGTTTGAAAATGAGAATGTGTGTGTGAGTTTGAGTTTTGAATTTTTAAATTACATTGCTGGCAAACGTCAGACTTCCTCTCAATGGTTTTACCCAAGGCATATTTAATAAAGTAGAGCGCTCTTGTAGCTAGTTATAATCATGATACAAAAAGAAGGTAGTTCCATTGTCACTTTTTCCTCGCCGTATTAACAACCTGACAATTAAGCGGATTGTGACGTTTCGTGCTCCCATACCCAATATCTAAAATCCTTCAAATTTTATTATTAACTTTCTGTTTATTTAAAAACATTTTGTTCTTAGAATCGAAATTTGAACAAGCAAAAGGTATTTGGATTTGCGTTATTGTTTCCAAACGCGTAACCCGAATCAATAAATTTTAACCTACGCGTGTGGTCAAATGATTAAACGTAGTTTTAAATAAAGATTTGAAAGTTATTTGTAAAAGATACTGGGGTCAGCGTAGCCGGAGTTTGACTAATGAGGGTTATTTTTTCTAAGCGCGGCCGAAGCCTTACAACGTAAAAAGGTATTTTGCGCAAAAATCCTCTGGCGTAGCCCGAGTCTTGCACCCCCACCAATATTGAACAATAAAATTTATTAATTATATATATTTTTACCCAAAAGAAACAACGATATTGTCAAAATATACCTGAAGCGGAAAATATTGACTTATCTAAAAGTCACGGGTGCCAAAGTAATTTCCACTTTCAAGTTACTTGAAAGACATGCAGTTAAACAGACAAAGACAATATGTATTAAACAACACATCGAAATATGTAATTTCGGTGTCTGATTTAGTATATCAGAAACAATCGTATCGTCGTAATAGTCCTGGCTAGCTATATTGTGAAATAATCAGATGACATAAGGACACTAAAAAAATTTAAAATATGTTCACTAAAATTTTATCAATCTAAAAATAATGAAATGTGAAATTTAAATATTTTTAAGATAAGGTCTTAATTAGTTTTAAAAGGCAAGGGTTAATACAACTTTTATATTTATAATCCCAAAGTTATGATATAAAATCCCCTCCACCAAAAATTTAATTTGGGTAACGCCGCTTCGAATTTTTCACAATTGAGAAATGGTCAAAAATCTGCTTTTTAATCAAAAAGTTGTTTATTGAAACTACATTCTTTTTTGTATCATGGTTCATGGTGAAATAAATATAAGGTGATGTCACTTACATAACCTCACTTTTTCTGCATGGCAATTACGGCCATGCATTTGAGGGTAGTAGAAAAAGGGTGAAAAGATTAGGATTAGTTTTATGCTTTTTGGGTACTATTTCCAATACTGATTTTTAATATAGATGTACATATACATACATCAGTGGACTCCACACCAGTTAAATAAAGCTTACGCCCATAAAATATATATGCTGTAAACCAGTATAATTAGAGTTTCATTTTTTCGCTCAAAAGAAATTCTTATTACTTAATTTTTATTTTTTCGATCAAATTTAATGATTATAATTATTATTAAGTCTTATTATCCTACCTTAAAATTATTATTTATAAAACTTAAAAGGCCTCACGTCGTACCACACACATTTTATGTTGAATATGAATATATACATATGTGAGTTTTACAATCAGTTTGTCGTAAAGTTTAAATAGTTTTATTTCATGGTATGTTTATATGCTTTCAGTTATAGATTTTTTTCTCATATTCATAAGAGTTATGTCTCAATATGAATTCCGGGATAGATCCCGAAATCCCGGGATTACTTAAAAAGTATCCGCTTATTTGGCATCCCTAATGTGTACATATGATCAAAACTCGAAATACATAGATGTTTTGTAAAAAGTAAAGATAAAAAATAACCAACTTGGAGTTAGCTTTTTTGCGGGATTTTTATAAAATATATAAATTGTAGTAGCTACAAAAAGATAACTTGAAACTAGTTGAAAAGTAATGCAGGAGTAATGCGGACGTAATCGGGAGATTGTTTTCTTAAAACAACAAATTTTACTTTGAATACACTTTCTTTCTGCATAATAAAAGGAAGATCGAAATTTTATATTATCATTTTGAAGTTATGTAAGCAAATATGAAATGTAATAAAATAAATTAAATAAACAATAAAGTAAAAAAAAGCAAAAATATATTTTGTTTATCTTATTGATAGGATGGTTTGTTACAAGTTAGTTGACATCAAATGCAGAGGTAACCGCCTTTGACTTTTTCGCGGCCTCGCCATAGAAATATCAAAGAAAATATTCAGATAATAGTGACCTTTAGTTCCTTCCTAATCAACTTCAAGTTATCACTGAGAAATGTTAACTGTTAGTCTCATCTGCACTTTAAAATATGTATTTCTCATTATAAAATGTTTTGTCAAAACTAGCAAAATCTTTACTTTAGAGCTTTGACTGCAGCAGAAAGGCAGCAAAAAACAAAAGTGTAAGCAGCTACACAAGTTTTGAGGTCAAGATCAACTTGGTAGCATGTTTTTTGATGCATTCATAGACAGTTGGCTACTTCCAATTCGACATTGGTCAAATGCGACTAATGTATACAATTTTATACCACATACATATGTACATACTTATGTATATATAATAGGGTGGTCCAAAACTACATACATATGTACATGTGAAAAAGTAAAAGCGGATTTTTTATGCTCTCCCCCCTTAGAATTGTTCTATATCGAAAAAATTTACCCATATTTTTTATTTTGAAAAAAAAAAAATTATATTTAGAGGTCGTTCAACGCGCTCAAAGTTTTCCATATATTTATATGGGGAAAAAACAACTTTGCTTAGAAATGGTATAGAAGTCCTGAAAATAAATATTTTTCGATCGGAAAACTCTATTTCTCTTCAGGAGGTTCCAAATAATAATACCCAATTGTTTATTTAACCATTTCTTTATAGTAATTATATCTTATAGGTCCGCCAAAAATCCCATAAAAAATCGTATACATTAAAAAATGCTTAAATAAACAATTGGGTATTTTTATTGGAAGTCTCTTGAAGAAAACCAGAGTTTTTCGATCGAAAAATATTGATTACCAAGAATTCTATACCATTTCTACGAAAAATGGGTTTTCCCATATAAAATACATGGAAAACTTTGAGCGCATATTTTGAGGGTATATTTTTTTCGGTTTAGAACAATCCTAGTGGGTGAGAGCTTTAAAATTCCGACTTTGCTATTTTTGGACCACCCTAATGTTTACAGTTTATTAGAGCTTAGTAGTAGCGGTTTCGTTTGTTCATTTGACAAACCAGATTGACTGACTGCTGGTAGAAAGTACGAAGTGATATGCTGATAACACAGTTCGGCAAATTCAGCTTTTTAAATAAAAGTACGTGCATATATCAATAGAAAGAAAAGTATTAAGACAATTTTTAACAATCTTCTCTTGAAATTCGCATCCTTCTATATCCTGGAAAATTTTCCTTGTGTTTATGATGCAGAAATATTTAATTTAATCATAAATCTCTTTGCTATAAACTCTTCTTCTTAATATGTTGGTTAAAACCTTCAAACGCAGACTTTTCATTATTATTGCACACAATTTCTACACATGCATATGTGCGCACATGGGTACGAGCTTGCTATTTTACTAAATACATACATACCTACATACATATGTCGAAAGAAACGAAATGAGATTTGCTCATTATCTCCTTAAATTAACTAGTAGTTATAAAAAGCGATTGTTAAAATATTTTGCATTAATTGGCAAACGAAAATGTATGTATGTCCATATACTTTACTATTTCTACACCGAATAACCGTTGGAGAGTATAGGTAAGCTTATTGTTGTATATTTCTTAGTACATATTAATGGGTCAAGGTCATTTATGGCCTTATGTTTATTCGGCCTTATTAAGCACTTATGTATAATGATACGAGTATATTGTATACTGTAAATTCACTTAAAGTTGCGAGAAACGTATTTACCTGACATTTATGTTCAATGGAAGCATAGAAGCCATCATGCAGACCATCACATTTGAAGTGAATGTCGTCCTCAGGCGGTACAGTTGAGAAAAATGGGTAGCTCGAAAGGTTATAACTGTAGATATCCGATAAGCATCGATATGTGTAAATTTATGAACAAATATTTTTTTTAATGGTAAAGATATTTAAAACTTACCCTCTCAGCTCGCGTGGAAGGTTTGGATCCCAGATGTAGTCGATTTGTGGGATGCCAGTCAACTTGGGATTTTTCGTTGTGCCCGATGAGTTATCCGACTGAAATTGGAGGTAAATGTACAATAACTTTTAATAGACTTAATAAACACAAGTGCCGGTTACTAACCGATTAAACAAACAACAAGTAAAATTTTGAAAGATTGTTTGATCAACAATTGCCACTTGCTGTGAACAAAAGACTTAAGACACAAACTCGGAATAACAATGCATTTGTAGGCATGTTCACGTCATGCGTATTATTGCAAAATCAGACAAATGTTGGTTATATAATTACACACAAAAAGAAACGATTTGAGTTTTTCGTTCTGTCAAATGCAAAATAAACTGCAAATTAGCATTTAAACCTGTTTTGGGTTTTACTCAAAACTGCTATTGCTTTAATACATATATAAATATGTATCTACATTAGGGTGATTTTTTTGCGACTATTTATTTTTTCCCTCCTACCTCGTAATTTTGTGGAAACCTAAAAACACTCCCTGAAAATTTGAACCCTTAATGTTAGCATTGAGTAATCGCCCAAGGCGTGCAAAGATTTCCCATATAAAATACACAATTTTATGGTATAATCATGGCCAATGATTCTTCAAAATTGAACGTTCTACAAAAGTCTCCATAGCGGCGTAACTCAAACTCCTACCAGCGAGTTTATACGGGTCACTAAACCCAATATTTTCATGAAATTCCCGTTTGTTTGCCCCTATCTCGTAAATAACAAGAAGTATAGAGAAATTGCGAATCACAAACTTTTAGGTCATTCAATTTTCTACAAAAAAGTGCTATAACACCAAATCGCTAATATCGATACTTTTTGAGGTAAACCTATATCGAAAGAAAAAACTATTCTAAGTCAAAATTTTATTGCGCAAAGAAATAAATGCAAAATTTTGTGAAAACTAGGGATGTGCCGGGTATCCGGTAGATATCCGGAATCCGGCTTAATCGGCCTTTTCCTGTTATCCGACTTCAATTATAAAAGATTATATTTCCAGATTTCGATTATAGAAGATTCTATTTAACAATCCAGTTCGGATTTTTTTACATTTTTATAATAAAATTTAATACTATCTAAATATTTACATATATATTCTTCATTTCTATTTTCAACATAAATGCTAGCCGATGCACTGAACACTCCTTTTGAGTTCACTTTGGAAGGTGGTTCGCGGAGATAATTCCTTGCCAAAGTAAGCAAATTTGGAATTTCTTTGCGACTATAATAATAATTGAATAGGTCCTTACACATTTGTTAGTGCTTGGCAGGGCTTCTCCTCTGATTTGTGGCGTGCGCACTGCTAACCCCTTCACCACAGCGGCCATCTGACGAAGTCCAAAGGTTCATAAGGCAACCTCTGGAGCAGTCAACATATCGACAGGGCCTGAGCAGTCTCAAGTTACGTGGACTTCAGACCTGTGAACTCCATTCTGGGCACGCAACCACCTGACGTAGACGAGACGGAGTTTCGTCTGCCTCGGGAGACTCGGACCGCAATAGTCCAATATCGCTGTGGCTACTGCAGTAGGTTGAACTCATATCTGAGCAAATTAGATGCAGATGTGCCAAATGAGTGCGGGGAGACACCCTATGACTCGAAAAATCTTTTCGCATGCCCGGAAAACCTCACACAACTAACGCCTTTGTCCCTATGGACAGACCCTATAGAGGCTGTACGCTTCTTGCGCCTTCCGTTAGTGGAGCTTGACGACAACGACTGAGATACTAGCCGATCTAGGTGGGGTTGTTGTAGCCGCTACAACAATTTCAACAACAACAGAGGCCATCTAAGATTCCATCAAATTAAAGGATCTTCTTGACTGGGTATAAGGGAGCTGTAAATATTTCTCCATTCCTCCATTGTTTGGCTATCCACATCACTAGAAAAACTGGAATTAGTATCAGAGCCGTTGGCGATTTCCTCAAAGCATTGCAGAATATCCTAGTCTACCTCTTCAATAAAAGTTTTCACTAGAATTCGACGTTTTCCATATGATTCAGCAGGTTTCTCCATGCTAACTGATTTATATTTTCGAATTATTTAGTTCACCATCTACCCGGTTTTAGATTTTTTGATGTCAGAAAAGAAAACGAGTTTTGAAACGTCTGTCACAAAATATTGCAACAATGGAGCCTTCCGGGGCGATTCGGGAAGCAAAAAGATATGTAACCATGCACATTACTTCGATTTTCATCACATTTAAAAAAAAAAAAAAAATCACGCGTTTTTTTTTAGCGGTGTTCATTGTTGTTTATCTTTTGTTTTTGACGTTTCTCCTCTATTTACCAAAAATAATCGATATCCGGGTTGCAGGCAGAGAAGTTATTTTTTTAATAAAGGATTATATCATAATTTGGATTTCAAATGAGAAATTTTGTATTCTTAATTACGTATTACATAGTTCAGCTCGAAAAAGCAGATAATCTAGCTAAAAAAAAAAAAACCTAATATAAAAATATTGTTAAATTTGTTAATGGTAGCAGTCTACCGGATATCCGATCGGACATCCGAATCCGGCTCTTACTTTTTACAGGATATCCGGAATCCGGTTATCCGGCAAAATCTCTATCCGGCACATCCTTAGTGAAAACAATAGAAATAAATAATATAAAAAAAACTTTTTAATATACAACGCTTTTATAA